GCTTCTCTTGTCTGTCTTTTTACTTATTTTATCTGTCTTTTACAGCTTCTCTGTCAGTCTTGTTCTCAGTCTTTTTACTCATGAAGTAAATGGGATGTAACTGTCCACCATCGGACTTTTGTAGCAACTCAGCGCCGAAATCACGACTGCTTGCGTCTGTATGCAATTCTAGTGGTGCTCCTTGTTTGAAAACACGAAGAACAGGACTTGTCGATAGAAGTTATTTCAATTTATTAAATGCCTCTTTTTGCTCAGACACCAATTTGAATTCTTCGTACAAATTTAGTGCAATTTTATTTAACAATATATTTCGTAGTCTTTTCCATATTCTGTATCGTGGCAATTATAAGCCTTGATGTCACGTTACTGACATTTCCTTGACTTCATTTTTGTGACGTCAGGCTTACTCTTTCTGTTCTAATCTCCTTATAAAAAGAATAGCGAATACACCGGAAATTCTCTCTTCTCGCGCGTTGATCGAATTGCTTGTTTTTGTTTAGAAACTCTAATTTTCATTGCCCCCCCCAAAAAAAACTTTTTAACTTTTTCCAACTGTGTTTGGTGTTTTAGGTTATTTTATATTTAACAATTTTTAATGAAGATGTTTTGTATTTTTGTCTTGCGGCGAAGTGAGAACGGAATTGATTGAATGCAAAATATATCTAAAATTAGAATAAATAACATTAAATGAAGTGCAGCAAAAATGTGTATAATTTAATAGGCCGTACAAGGAAGTCATGTGGTATGCACATCAGATTTTTTTTTTAACTGGAGAAGTTACCATGAATTGCAGAAACACCAGGTTCAGCAATTCGTATGATGGGAAAATTAGCATGGTACTTTTCGCGAAAGGTAGTGCTGAATTTTGACAGAGGAATACAAAACATACTTTACTGTCTCACTATACGTACACGCACTAAACTACTAATATACACCTATACTGAATCGAGCTGCTACAGTTTTGATTATTTAGGTTATAACAGCTCCCAATTAAATAAACTCTTATATTTCGTCAGTGTTTCTCTTATTTTGTCTAGCATAACTATCCGCTATAGGATGTATTTGAAATATGCGTTCAGGAGGAAAAAAGAAACTGTTACTTCCAACTGAACACCTCTTTAAAAGCCTTTAAATTTGTACAATTTATGTATGAACGGGGATCATTGCATTAAAAATAGTACGTTATTGCTACATGCACTATAGTAATAACGTTACCTACTCGTTACAGTGTTTATGGCAATGAATAACGTAATCGGTACGGAAGACTCTGCCCAGTTTGTGTATATTTATGGATCCTTAAATGAAATTACTGACAAGAGAACATACTAAAGTACTGTGAATGGAATTTAGTCAATTCTCAGTGTCACGGCTATTAAAAGAAAGCAAGTCTTAGTACAGAGCAAGAAGCGGTACAAACAGAGAAAGATATTGTAACGTTTTCTTGCAGGATTTAACGAAATAACTGATGAGTTTCTTAGTAAAATGTAGATTTTATTGGAGCTAGATAATTTAAAATACAGTTATATCCGTTACAGCATCACTCTCCAGCTCAATACTTCAATTTCAATTTCAAAAACTGATTTCACACATGTACAAAATGGCGAAATTTCAGAATAACTTTTTCAAACATTTTCTGACGTTGCTCAGCAACGGTTACACGATACAAAATATGGCGTACCCACTACAACGTTAAGGACAATAAATATATATATTTGTTAAATAAGAAAATATTACAATGACCAAAACCATTCCAATGTCACTTTTTGAAAAGATTTTCATTCAGAGACAAATTTCTCGCATACAGCTATTCGAAAGCACTTTGAAAATGTCCACATGAATGACAAGTAGCAGCCTGCACTATTTGAAGACGGCATAGCATGGGGACTAATTTGTCTTCTTCGTAAACTAATGTTGAAATAGGAAACGAAGTTAATTAAATAACGTAAAGCATAAACAACCTCAGTGGAACGGTGCCTTGGTACACCAGGGTACCTGGGCCGAAGGCCTATGATTAGAATTTTCGACTTGCTGCTTTTTCATTAAATTTGTGCATATTAGTCTAATTTTTTTTTTTTTTTTTTTTTTTTTTTTTTTACTTTTTTTATGTATATTTTGAATTTTTGATTTTTTTGGTATATTTTAGGGTTTTTTTTTGTATATTACCAACAAAAGATCCTGATTACAGGTTACCTTATCTAATGCCGTAAAGGACCAGAAGGCCAGAAAGTTGTCGAGTGATGAAAAATCCTGGAAGTGGAGATGTTAAACACAAGGCAGTGCCCAAAGTGATACCAGCCCTTGGCAAATAAATATATACATATATACATACATAAATGAGAGTGCAATAACAATATTAAAATAAATATACATAAGGAAGGTGTTGCGAAAAAGGCAAAATTATATAAAGCAGAAAAACATTACTATGCTATGCCATTACATAATCCATTCATTTAATATGGCCAAGGGCCTGTGTTTGTTGTCCAGATTGTATGGGTCGTACTCAGGTATCTTAATGGCAGGGTTTCCAATCTCGAGCTGCCTGCTATGAAATCGTTTTGCAATTTTGTAGTAGACAGATTTAAGAGGGCGCACGCCCAGTTCCTCATGAATTTTTTTATTCCGCACGTACCAGGGTGCATTGGCAATTTGTCTAAGAGTGCAATTTTGGGCAGTTTGTAGTTTGCCCCGATACCTGTTACATGAGTACGCCCATACAGGACATGCATAGCATAGTAATGGACGCAAAATGGATTTGTAAATGAGTAACTTGTTATCTATAGACAAACACTGTTTCGAGCAATTAAGGGGAAGAGTTGAGCTTTACGGGCTCGAAACTTATTAATAATATTTGTGATGTGTGGGTTCCATGACAGAGTTTTATTGAGGATCACGTAAAGCATAAACAGCAGATTAATGGAAAAAAAATGGCACTTTTCGGAGTAGGAGGTTTTAATCTCTACGGATCCAAAGAAAGAACGATTAAAGAATAATTCTTTGTACTGTTTGCTGTTGTTAAGTGTCATTGGGCAAGTATGAATATTCGAAATACTTAAACTCTTCCCAGTGTAATTTAATTACTCAATAAAGTTTAAAAGACATTGGTTTTATATAAATTTTAAAGGGTACCTCACTTTTATCCTGCAAAAGAAAGTAACGAGGAACCTAGCAAACTGCTAAGCAAATTATCGCTTAGTTCAAAGAACAGAAAGCGTAAACTGAAGATGGGTTAATTACCCTTTATTCACTCAAAATAAGATTAACAGTTGGCCCCTTTCTTTGGGCTTGCAGCAAAGCCTCCACTTGGTCTTGAACTCAAAACTAAGAAATAACAACTAACTAATGACTAACTAAGAGATTTAATCGAAGCTAATACATATCTAATGTAGTTGGCGCGTAATCTTAAACCAACCCGCGAACTATCAAAAGGCACATAATAATACGGCCGAGAGTAACAACAGCTTAGAGAGACATAGCCCAAAGGCAAACGCACGCTTCTCTCATTCTCGAAGTTAGTTGAACTTTCCTTTAATAGTATCTCTTCCTCATTTTCATTCAACGGAATTCTAAAAACTCATTCTAGTAGGGAGTTGTAAGTTGAAACAAGAAATGATAGGAAAGGCTAACTATATTAAAATAACTGTAAAATATTAAAATTTGCCTTACAATTTTACTGAGCATATAAAATTATGTCATTGGAAATCACGAATTAATTCAAACAATTACTTTTTTGTCTGCCGCACAGATGGTATAGTGGTTAGAGAAGCCTACTGCAAAGTCGAAAGGCCCGGGTTAGAACCTCGGAGAAGGCATGGATGTTTGTAAATGTATAGTGTCTTTGTGGCACGGGAGCACTCTAAACATATGTCAAACCGAAAGTCCTCTTGAAAGGTTGTGGCAGAGAAAAAGGGGTGAGAGACCCCCGGACACGTCGCCCGGAGGGCTCTCAATCAAACCTGGGGGCGGAACTGAGTGAAATGGTACTGTCACTTGTTTGTTCAAGGCTCTTGCTAACAACAGGCGCAAATCTTGCTCTCCTTGCCACGATGAATTTCGGGGACTTGTTTTGATGTTGCTATCAGACAAGTGAGATAAGTTTCAACAACAACAGAACTTTTGTTGTCTGCAAATACAATTTCGCTGCATGCTCTTAATAAATTTACGTTTGATGAAATTTCATAGAAGAGTTACTGTTGTATTTCCAGACGAAGAAAGACAAATATAAATAGAGAAAGTTGTAGGTTCAAAGATTAGGCTCCTGGCAAAAGAATATGTTTTTGTAGTATCATGTAAAAGTGATTTTAAAAAAGTGTGTTCGTTAAGATCTATTATTTTTGTTTGTAGAATATATTAATTTCTTTAGAGAAAAATTAAGACTATGCAAATGACAAAAACTGTTTCAATTTGCACGCGTGAAGCAGAGCGCATTTCGTTTACTGATATCTTTTAGTGGAAAGCTTGTATAATACCATATGGACTCAAATTGTTGGAATGTCTATATGAGCTCATTGGTCCATATGAACTCATTGGTGGTCCCAGTTGCCCATATGAACTCATTAATGCATTCTTGATCAGATGAAATGAATGTTTTGGGAAAAAAATATATACAACTTGCAGGTTTAACAATATAACTGTTATCTAACTCCAGAAAAGTAAATGTTACATTTAAAAATATTTTTTTATAAAGTTAATGATTTTTCTGGCACAAATTAACATTGTATTAAATAAAAATATATTAAATTTTTTGTGATCTTACTTGATTTATGAATGAATGTTTGAGTCCAGGTGGACTGAAACATTCAAAATAATTTTATAAATTAAAATCAAACATAAAATCAGATTATTTTTAAAATTTTGTATCGAATCTCAGCTGAAGATATCTTAAGATTCTAACTTTTATATTTATGAATAAAATAAATTGTTTATTTATTTCAAATATTCCAACATTACGTTCATTTTAAGTGATACATTAAACAAAAGTATTTGAAATAAATTTTACTTACCATATCTGATTCATCTACTGTACGAATATTAAGCTTACTGATGCTTACATTGACGTGGACTGGTTTTCCTAAAAAAGTTGCAAATTAGCATAATAAATATCAAAGTCAAATTTTAAATTTAAAAATTCTAGTTACTATTTTCTTTATAATCTAATTAATAGAACTGGTTGTACTGAAATTCGCAAGCTAGTAACTGAAGGATTTTATATTACTCTAAAATAATTTATACAGCTTGAGATAAAGGTTTCTTTTTAAATTTTGCCATTCTTGGTTCCATGTTTTCAACTTAACCCTCTCTTTATGTATTTAAAGTTAAAAAGATATTTAAGAACTCACAGCAGGCTTGGGAAAATAGAATTAGAACATTTAGAGTATCTGTCCGCTGATTGAAATACCTACAATGAAAATTTAGCTTAGTGTGATAAAAACTTTAGCTTAACTTACCAGTATATTAATCATGAAAATTTAGCTTAGTTTTCCAGTGTATAGAACTAATTTAAGTATGTAATTGAAGGTAAGTAATTCTAAATTATTAGTATGCCGCTCAGACGGTACAGCGTGAAGCATGCTGCGATACAGAAGGACCCGGGTTCGAATCCTAGACAAGGCATAGATGTTTGTGAATGACTTTGCGGCAGGGGGGGGGAATTTTAAATATATGGCTAGCCAAGAGGTTGGTGGTAGGGAAGAGGGGTATGAGACCCTCGTGGTGCTCTTTATCGGAACTAGCGCGGAATTGAGCGAAGTCGTACTGTTACCTGTATTATGCTTAAGGATCTAGTCAAAGACAGACGCAATCGTGCTCTCCTTGCCACGATAAATTTCATGGGATTGTTCTGATAATATTATAAGACAAGTGAAATAAGTCACAGGAGCACAAATTGTTAGCATTACAAGTGAAGCATAAATTTCAAATGACAACTGCAACGCAACTTTCAAGGTGACTAGATATATCAATACAGCAACGGGTACAACGTTTGGCATATCGCTATCACTCATAGCTGTAGGACAGTATATATAAACTGAAGAGCGCTCCTCACCGTTTTTGCTAAAACTGCATTTCATTTGAAAAGAACTAGAAAAAGCAGCTATCTTGCTTGGTATTTTGCGAAGTCAAGCGTTATTCATTGAATACTTCAGGCGTCAGTATAAAATAACGTCATAAATGATCACATGGTTTTTCAGGCGGAATATTACTATAGGCACTACTACGAGAAGAGCAGCAATGGCGCTCTTCTCGTAGTAGAAGTTATAGATTGTACTAATATCAGTGCAACTGATGCGGAAGGCTCTTGGATACCAACCTATGTGTGAAGGCAAGCCCTCACATTGTCACTCCGAATTCCATTTCCACTCGGGTAACGGACGTTGGCTAGAAAGACTGTAAATAGACCGATTTTTAAAATTCACTATCTCATTTCTTCTGTATACACATTAACACGACCAGCACGTCGCGTATTCGCGAATTTTTACACCTGAAAAATATAACAGTTACTCATCGGGTACAAGCTGGCGTTTCTTGCGTTTTTTTTTTTAACAAAGATTTTTCAGATTATCAATATTTATTTTGAATCGGTAAATATTATCAACATATGAAAAGAAAACAAACGTTAGAAATTTAAAATACAAATTTGAATTATTAAATAAGGATTACTGATACATTAAAAAAACTAAAGCAGATACATTCTTCTTCAATTTATTTCTGTAATTCTTTTGAGCTCTTCATCTTCCGAAGTACACAGCGATCCATTTTCGCTTGAAAGAGGCATAAGAAAATTGAGGAGACTCGGCTTCGTGCAGCCCTTGCAAAAGCGGTTATCCAGGAAACGCGTTTCCCCGTTGTTCTCTTTAGAAAATTTTCAGCAAAGTTCTGTATTTCTGAAGAAATTTTACCGCATGCCGGAAAATAATGCGTTAAACTGAGAATTTCCTTAAGATATAAAATCAATTTTTAAAATAATATTATATCATAAAGTGGATTTTTTATCAATAATTTTTACAAGAAATGGCTTCTGCTTGTGGTTTTATTCGAGTTTTAGATACCTGAAATAGTCTTGCTGAATATTACCACTGATAATCGAAGAAGGGAAGTAATAGTTAGGTTTGCTCGACATTCGATTTCGAACAACAGACTGCCAGACTACATGCTACTGATAGACAGTAACAGCCTGAGTGCTTATTTTGCTATTTTTGCTGTATTACATGTATATGAGTAATACGTGATAACTATGAATCAGGAAGATTCGAGCAGATTGATTTTCTTTGCAGAAAACTTTCGAAGCGAAGCCTCTACCATAAGACTTCGCGTGCTTTGCATTAATGGATTACATATCTGCTTATGGTGATCACTGCAGTTATTTCTACGTGATAATTCAAACTACAAATTCTGTCAGCGGAAAATATTTTTGAGCCATGACGCAAAGACTCAGTCTGCTTTTTAAGTAGATCAATATTGGTAGGCTACATCTGGAAAGTAGGCTTGAAGCATAACTCTCCACTAAGATAAATGCATTAAGAAAACCCGATAATAACTTTTCTGTTACTTAATAAATTTTTCAGGAATAATATGACATGCAATTTTCCCATTACACGAGATCCATTAACATTATTAAAATTATACCGCAATGTGTCAAAGCTAATAAATTTTTTATGACAACTTATAAAAACGGGTATCTAACATGGTTAAAGGAAAGTTTTGCCCATACGAAATTTCTGAAATTAGTTTTCAGCACGGTGATATCACTTTTTGTACATTACCGCACATTTATCAGCTGATTATATATATTAATTTTCAGTTATGTCGAATTTCGCTTGTAAATGTTTTTTCTTTTCTCCATGCCTAACTTTTCGGAACATTTTGTTCTCTAGTTTTATTACAGTTCCTAGGATTGTAAAAGTAATTTGTTAAATACAGAAAAATTGCTTATAGATTCTTGAAACCAGTTTTCTTATATACATAAAAGCAATTATATTGTTGCGTTCTACGCGTTCGTAGATTTGGAGTAATTGATGATAATACTTGATGAAGAATCAAAACACAGTTTATTCCTCAGTAAGCACTATTACACACCACAGTTCCAAAGACACGCTTAACACTCGTCGAAAAGCTACGACAAACGCGCCGAAACAATCAACAACCATCCTTCAGGCTATAACGGGGAAGACAGCTTATCGGCAAAGCACTAAAGTACAGCTCTCAAGCTAATGTTTGCACTCAAGACACACTACTTTCTCCACGTAAAAGCAGAGTATATGTAGCTTTAATCTGCCATCTACAATATTCCCGAGAAAACTGCTAAGAATGTGTTCCAGAATGTTCTATCTCCATCTATGGCATATCGCCAATTTTGTCGCTTAATACCTCCAAATGGGCGATTTTGCGACAAATATGGCAACTCTGCCTTTCCCTGCCGCTTTCTGGAAACCCCAAACCACGCTTTGCGGAGAAGCTGTTTCACAGCAACTGGGCATTTCGCATTAATATTATTTGCTCCTGGGTTTTTTTAAAATCAAATTACATTGTTCCAAATATAACCAAAAGAAGAAAATCCCACTCCTGCGGAATCTGGCTTATAATCAGTAGTGTTTACAATTATAATTATCATTATTATCCTAGCACTATATTCTGTCTCCTTCATTTGCATTTAGGCAGCTGAAGAAGATGGTTCTGTATTTAAACCATCGAAACTAGTCCTGAAAAATTTACAACAGTACGCTGATTCTTGTTTAACTTCTCTAATAAAAGTGATACTGTGCTTGGTGTAGAACTCTACTGATTTCTAGGACAAACAGGTACAGAACCCTCTTCATCACGAACAGTTACGCCAAACATAGAGTGTTGCCTTGTTAATTTATTGTTTTACTTTGGCGTGTTTTTATTCTGTTTTGAACATGATGCAGATCAATTGCTTTTTCAGTTTCATTTTCGTTTGAAAATCAAATTTAAAAGCATCAACTTCCCAGAACTCAGTTGATAGAGCTACTTGTAGGGTTCCTCACAGTGTAATTCTGAGTTACTGTTGAACGTGAAGAACCTTAAAAACTGGTAAGCGAATAATCGCTTGAGTTCGTGTGACCGGAAACAACAAGATAGAAGGGTAAAATAGCCCTTTATTATTCCATCTAAAGTTTAAAAAACTCCGTCTTGGAGTGTACAGTAAAGCCGAGCCGACACTCGGGCTTTGAACTTAAGAGACTAAGAATGATACTAAACTAATCTAAACTAGAGGTATAGCCGAAGCGAGTTGGCTCCTTAACGTTAATAGACTGCAAAAATATCAAGGGCCGAGAGTAATAATAGCTTTCGAGAGAGTAGCCTAAAAAAGAAGGACGCATGCAGACAGAATACCTGGTATCTCTCTCATTAAGACCGAAGAACTTCGCGGTTAAATACCGCTCTTCCTCATTATGTATTCAGACGTGATTCTAAAACTATGTTCTGGCCGGGAGTATAAGTTGAAGTTAAAAATCGATAGGAAAGGAACTTTAACTTAAAATTTAAATGTTAATAAAATTAAAATAATTCTTACAAACTGAGCAAGTTTTTACAAAAACAAACTGAGCAGTGTTTTTAGCCTAAAAATGAAAAGACTACGTGCGAACTTATGTGGCACGCGTACCTACTTAGCCTTGTTAATTACTCGTACTTATTAACGAAAAAAGTTGTCTTCTTTCGACAAAAAGTATTTAAACTGGATGATGATATTTTTACCAGAAGATGATCATCGCTTAAAAAAGTTATGGACGAATCCATCGAGAAAATTTTTAAATTCTTCGAAGCAAATCGTTTTCGACGGGTCACATTAAGAAACTGTTTTCTTAGTGATATAATGTTTGATTAACTGCTTTTACACCTCTTACAGCAAAATCATTGTTTGAATGTTGTTTGCATTGTCTAAAGGTTGTTTGCAGACAAGTTTTAAGTTGATAATTTTTCTTTGAAATTAGCAGAGAAACATGTAATGTAAAATTTAAAATTAGACAAAAAATCAACTTTAGTTTAGAGAGAATTTTTATAAATAATTTATCGATTTCAAGAACGATCAAATACAAGTCCTTCTGCTTGAGCAGCAAAAATTTTCTTGCTGCTGAAAGATGAGGGACCTCTGTTTGATCATCTTTGAAATCAATAGAATTTTATTCACAATCGATGCCTAACTAAGATTTATTATTTATCTAATTTTAAATTTGTTCTTAATTCTTTGCTTTCAAGCAGCAGGACCTTTTATCAGTTTTAAGTCTTTAAACATAAAGTATGCACATGGAATACATAATCTACATTATACAGATCTTTGGAAGTTTTACGACAATTTCACATTTGTCTATTTATAATTTTTCTTTGTCTCTGTAAAGCAAAATATTTTTTTTTTACCGTCAATCATAGGTGGAGACAAATAGTCATATTCTGGAGGAGCTACATCAGAAAATTCCACTACTCTTTCATTGTCTTCAGCTCTGCAAACAGAAAAGTATAAAATTTAAAAGCAAGAAGAATTTTTTGATAAAAGTATAAACAGAAAAAATATGGTAAATTACAATCAAAGTTTATGAAAACTAATCATGTAAAAATGCTCTAATGGTAGTAAAAATACATTCGAAATGTGTGCCAGAATTCACTATGACAGAATTGACTCTTAAGTAAACTATACTGTAAAATTAAGGGATAAGTTACACAGTAAATCTAATAATTTAACATGCAAGTTTAATACTATATATTAAATTGATTCTAACTAAGTTATGATGATACCATATCGTCTCTTAAACAAACAAGTCGTAAACTAAAAATCAAAGTAAACGAAAAACAACTCGTGAACAAAAGATTGAGGGCAATGAAAAGGATTATTAAGATAATGATCCAGCTTATCAAATGCGGAATCTGTAACAGTAATAGAAATAGCTATAAACTAAACATTTGTTTAAGAGAAGACGAATACTTAAGAAATAATTAACATTAGCAACATGACATCATATAAAAGAAGTTATTTGAAATAGAGAATGAAAAAGAGTCATGTTTTCATAACAGGAGACAAGAACTAATCATAGTCGAAACATTTTAAGGAATTTGAATACATTTAAAAACCCTTTTTTCTTAAACCTGAAATGGATGGAAACTTAGCATTCCACGATTTATCATATTGAAAATGTGGGAAGTTTTTTCTTTGCTGATATTAAAGCGTATATCACCAAATATGAATGAGTCATTGTATTATAAACTTGCCGAATAAAGAGAAAATTGGAGTTTGATTTGAATGAAAAGCAGTTCTAGATGCCGACTTTAACAGAGTACCTTTAGTAAAATAAAGGATCGATTTCAGAGTAGAGAGTTTTGTATTCAAAAGACAGTGTCTTAGAAATCCGCCTCAAAAGAAAACTATTTATTACTAACATTCATCGAAATCACCAAAGGATTACCCCGGATCTCCCGCAAGCCATTCTCAGTACTTATAAATACAAAAACAATTCATCGTCGTTTTTGCGATCTATACTGGAAGGCTAACCATCTTTCTTATATGGATGATACCACATGATTTCCCTACACTGTATATTAAATTATACAAATTTTTTGCTGCACTTCATTCAAACTTATTTCTTAATTTCACGAGAGACATATTTTTCACTCAATCAATTAAATTGTCATTTCTCAGCAAGGCAAAAATACATAAAAACTCAACACATCTTCATTAAAAATTGTAAAATACGGAAAAACCTAAAATACCAGATGTAGTTAAAAGAGTCCCTAGAGATTAATTTATTTTGACTAATAGTAGCAATAAAAAGAGACTATTTACTATCGAAAAACGAGGAAAAAAAATGTGCAGATCTGGTCCCATCAATACAAAGAAACTTTCATTAAGGATTATATGATTGTGGCAGGATTCTTATGCAAATGCGAAATTAAAATGAGAAGAGTAGAAAAAAATGTTAAAAATCAACTCGGCGTACTATTAAGAGATCGTTCTGTGTCTGATATTTACAGAAAATAAAAATACAAATTCTTTATCCTCATGACTTTCAAAGAGTGAAACTTCATCAAGACAAAGCAAGAAGTCATAAAGTATCATTGCATTCCTTGAAAAAGTGAAGACTGATACAGGTATTACATCTACATTTTCAATGTATTCCTACGGAGTCCTTTGACTTTTCATCCACTGACTACTGTGCCTCTAGTCTTTTGAAAAATCTCTTTGTAAGAGCAAACCCACCAATATTGATGGACTCTGAAAAGTAGTGAAAGGTAAATGGAAATCAAGACCCCTGATTAACGACACTCTGCATAATGATTTAAAAGTTGAGCGTGTATAGGAGTTCATCCATCGTATGAACAAAACGTTCTTTACAAAGGCCAAACTCTGCTCCCATTTAAGTGGTTTTAATGCATTCGACTATATTATTTTACCTGAGGTTGCAAATATTAGACCTTCAGCGGCCCACCTCACCCGTGACTCAAATTTTCCGACTTAATTGCACTTTTGTATATATGTGTATATAGTTATGTAAATATAGTTTGTATTTTCACATTTATCCTTGACTTCTAATTTTATTGTATTGATTTATTCTTAGTAAACAAAACGTTTGTATACTTATATTTTACTTATGTATATTTTTGATAACGTCAGTCAGATTCCCACACTCCTGTCAGGCCTTTCCTGGTTTTCGGTCTCATGTTTTGTTTACTAAAACCTTGCGGTGCATGGTCATCTCCCCTCTTTTCACCTCAGACCTCCTCTTACCCGTGCAACTGTTACGTCATGTGCCTATACGGCAGAATTATCATTGAGCCGACAACATCGCACATATTAGCGATAGCCCGGCAATACATGTATTGATTGATTGATTGACCCCTAATAATTTTGCGAAAAGCTCTACTTATATTATTATCTCTGTTATTGAAATCACGATGCATAAGTATAGTCCAGAAAAAGGCTATAAGATCAAACATTAAAAAATATTATTTACTTTTTAAGTATTAATTAAACGGCTCAGAAATCGTTCTAAAATATTTAAACCCTTTCTGTATGTTCCTGTAAAAAAATTAACAGAATTTTCTCTCACTGAAGGCAAATTTCATAAGCCTATGTTTTAAAATTGGACTTAACATAAAAACATTTGAATTGCTTACATAAATTGCTGGAACTTAGAATACATATAAAAATTTGCGATGCTGCTTATTAAAATAGAAGACTATGTTCTTGATTGCCTGAATAATTGTCCTGTGCATGGTTGCCAGAATTCGGCACATTGTGAAAATTTTGCATTTCGACTCAGGAGGTTATGCTAATACGTAAGTAACAGAAATTCTTTCTTTGAATTAAATAAATAATTACAAACTTCATAATTAAAAATAAAATAAAGTTTTTTAAGCTTTAGTTTTTATATAAATAAACGCTGTGCATGTTAAAGAGGTGGAAGAAGACAGACTCTGTAGGCAGAATGGGAGACAGCAAACAGTTACTTTTACCCTAAATTTGTGCCTTAAATTGTAAGATGCTGAGCATGTAATAAAATTTACTTTGACTGTCTAATTATCCAAGCTTTTGATTACCTGAGTAAATCCCGGGACGTTCCGATAATCGGTGCTGCATTATATGGTTTCACAGAAATTAAGGAATTTTAAATTTGCTTGGTGATATAAAATTTTCAGCAGTTCTCTGGGATCTTCAATGGAACTTCAGAATTCTTGCACTAGTTATTTCTCTCACACCTTTGAGTAAAACTTTAGTTGGTACAGTTAAATTCGAATTATCTTTTGCTGTGTTAATTTTAATTCCACGTAATTGTTAGATTTGGGCAAGAATTCGAAAGAAATATTAATTAATTAAAACTCATTTTCGTGTATTAGGAATAAACATTCATGCATATTTTACAGAATATTGTATAATTGAGACAACGTCCACTAGATATTTTATATTGTCTTTTCTTTTAGGGTTAAAATATATTACAGTGATATTTACAGTGCTTCCTAATTATAATGACAGTTAATATAATAATTATTTAAATTACTGAAACTGATTTTCATTTACTGAAAATAAATCTCACAAGCAATTGAAATTTTAACGCAGTAAAATTACACTGCTACAATGTAACAATTAACATTTACTAAAATTTCATTAAAAGTCTTAAAATTATTCAAAAAGTACTATAGGACACTAAGAACTATATATTTTGAGATTCTTGTTAATATTTTTCACATATTTAAAGTAGAATATTAAAGATTTATTTAATTTATTAAATAATCGTCTAGTGTATCTCTAGTTCTCAGTGACATGACAATACTTTTTAATACAATGCTGTAATTAAAATTTAACTGAATTTTAAATGTAATAAATAAAAGTTTTGAATAAACAAATTATAGCAATTTATGTTTGAAATTATATTTATGGAAAGAAATGTTAGCAATCAAGAAGGACAAAAGATTTCAAAATAAAACATCTAATTGTTTTAGAATAAAATTCTGATATTTATGATCTGTACATAGCATATCTATATGATTTAAATTGTTTAGTCAATATTGGGATTTAAAAGTGTTTTAAAATAGTCAGCTTCCATGTTTCATCATTATTCAGTTACCAGCGTTCATATCCAGTATCTTAATTTTGATAAAATTAAAAGGATTTAAAAAATACTTATTAAATTCTTGAAAAAATTGCGCGTTCAGAAATTGCGCGTACTATAATGTACTCGAAATTTGACTTGAAAATTTCTCTTTCCCTAGCAAGCAAATGATTAAAATTTCGAGGCTAATGAATGATAATTTCGACTGCGTTTTGACGGCGCAAATGGAATCCTAACCGAAATAAAGCGGTCAATAACTGACCACTATGATAATTTTGGTTCATCATCGCAATTACAGGCTAATACTAATGCCAATAAGACGCATTCGGAGACCATATCAAGAACACTTCAAGAATGGTCGAACTGTCGGGTTGCGTGAAGTTGGATAAACATATCTTGCAATAAGGACACTGTAGGACAAAGGTGCTGGTAGTAATGCTCCTGCAAAGTTGGCATCTACGAAATGAAGTTTCCCGCGGGCCAAAATGCACAAATGCCAGACTAGATCATGCTGACATCATAGTTACCCACAACATACCGTACCGTACTGTAGGTTCTTCCATACCACCTGTAGTACCTTTTGAGATGTTGGGCTTAATCTGAATTACTCTCATATCACAATTTAAGAAGTATATTTTACCACCCCAACATCAACAACGGAGTTTGGAATGGTGCTATGCTCTAACATCATGTCTAGCTGGTGACGGCATAGCTTTGTCTTTAGAGATGAAGATCTTTTCATTCTTGAGAGAGATACTCATATCATCCGCGTATGGCCTGCACTTCCTAATAGACCTTATTATGCAGAGGTAGACGGCCAATAATTCTGGCGTGATGGCGAGACATTTGATATCTTACACTACTAGCCATTAAAATTGCTAATCCAGGCAGGAAAGCAAATTGGTGAATCTTATTTATTCTACATATGAATTATAAAGAAAGGAAGACATTATTAAATTTGTATATGGTTTAGGGGTACACAGCATTATGGATTCAGTACATAGAACTGCCACCTCTGGTAACAACAAAGATTATAACACGGCTGGGCATGGACTCAAAATGAACTTGGATGACAGATATAGGTACTTCATTCTATGCGATATACACTATTTGCCGAAGTTCATAAATCGTAGCGACTGCGAATATAAGCGTGCCAAGCTATCGGCAATCTGTAACTAGATGTTATTAATGGATAAGAAATCTGAAAAACGGGCTGGTCAGGGCAGCATTCTATATAGAGGAAGGTCAGGACAGCACGGGAAACAGGCTATCGTGCATTTTCTTGTTGAAAGATGGTGTTACGCAGGCCTCGAAGGTAGGGTATAACCACTGGCTTTAACAGTCACGGTGGCTGTATCCATTGTTTGGTATGCGAACAAGAGGTTATAAGGTATTTCTCCCGCCTTCCTAGCCTGTCTTCGTGGTGTAGTGTTTCTGCACACTGGGCCGGTATTCCAGAGGTCCGTGGTTCGGTTTCCGGCGAAGGCGGATGCTAATTTTTCATCTCTCTTGCTTCCAAAAAATCCTAATGTCTCTACAAAATAACCGGAATGTGTATCCAGCAGCACTCCATGCCAGCAAGCCAAGTGCTGTGATCGTATGATAATAGCAAATGTGAGTTGGATATGTTGTTTCTCCTCCCTACCTCCATGTGTCAAATGTCATCTTTCCCCATTATACGCGCACTGGTCTCTTATGCAGCGCCAAGGTAAACCAGAACAAGGGTTCTTGGTACTGCAGACATCATCGCACTCTCCATGCGGGTACATGTCCTGCACACAAGTGATGAATTGTACTTATTACCCGAGATATAACACGACCTTTATTCAAACCGCCAATGCGATTTACAAATAGGAAACTTGATATGAAATCTTTCCAATTACATACAATATAGATGACATTACTCATACTCGCTTTGTGCACATGCGCTGGAATGCTAATCTTTTGCATATCCCAAAATGTAGTATCCTTCATGCAATTTGGTATTTACTACATACCGCCTTCACGGCGTAGCATTTTAATTCTTAATTATAGCAGTGTATCACAGCAGGTCTTCCTTACAACTCTAATATCGCAGCTGTGTGTTGGTAATATACTGTGACCAGTTGTGTTACCCTTCATGGAACTTAAGTCTGGGGTCATATTCAGCAAGGAGTTTATGTGCGATTTTGCAACTTTTCCTCGGCCAACAAGTTCTCTAAATCTTTGTACAATGGTATATTGCTAAATCGTCAAGTACTACATGCACAGCAGAATATTGAAAAATCTTGACACACAATTGAGCAAAGCCTGGCAAACTCTCTGATACTAGGACACTATGGGTGAATGACACTAGGAATCTGTACTATACTTTACCTCGCCGTATATATGCAATCATCGTAGCCAGAGGAGGTGTAATAAATTACTACTTGTTATGTCTAAGACACAACTGCTAGCCAAAAATTGTCTTTGAGCATTGAACCATTTGGTAAGTTGTGTATGTAATTTACATTTTTTTTTCCTTTTAAGAAAACTGTGCATTCATGACTGATTTCAGAGGATTAGAAGGGAGAAAAATTTATTTTGTCTTAATTACATTGAGATCAGAATGATCTAATGATTACCGAGAAAACAAACTACTAGATGCCACCTGGAAGTATTTGGAGTTCTGAATGCATGGATAAAAGAGAACTGGGGAACGAAACTCTTTGCTGTGAAGAAGAGAGTTTCCAAGCTATTCTCAACTTGCCTGAAAGAGTACACAGGAAGATCGCCATGTACAAATCAATATAAAGAAAATCCTCTTTTACTAACGAAAAATTTTAATTCGTAATAAGCCACTTATAACGCTGCTATAATATAGCTTACTGTGAACTGATGTTGCTGAGTTATCAACCGAGTTGTAGAGAAGTTCGATTAATGCATTACTCTTAATTTAATATGATCATCCACTGATCATTGAGTGTTGATAATCTATGTTGGCAAACAAACTTTCGACAAATGGAAATAAAAATTAGGTATAGCTCAGGTGGTAAAGAACAGATATTTTTTAGCCACAAAATTTCCTTTAATCCAGCGAGATTTTCCTGATTTGCATATTTATTTCTCATTAGCTTATTACTAAGCTTATAAGGTCTTTCTCCCACTTCCCTAGCGTGCCTTCGTTGTGTAACGGTAGCACGCTGGGCCGGTATTCCAGAGGTCTGTGGTTCGGTTCCCGGCGAAGGCGAATGCATATTTTTTATCTTTTCTGCTTCCAATTAACCTAATGACTCTACAAGCTACTGTGGATTCTGCATCACTCCATGAGTGATCTTGGTATTTTCTTGAAAGCTCAGATTTAAATTCAAATCAAAAGCCTGTGATTAGTGAAAATATCAGAAGTACAGTAAAAATATTAATAAATTAAGATGATATTCTAAATTTAAAATAATCCAATAAAATTTAGACATTGAATCTAATCACTAAAAGTTTCTCTCATGTATAGGATGTTTATAGATTATATGGATATCATCTGAGGCAAGCATTACGTATATAATATTGTAGCGAGTTTTTCAGTGAAGCATTGCGTAGTTTTTTGGAATTTAAAGAATCAGTGATTCGGCCGCTCTGTTCACAAATTAATTTCAAAATTTTAAATCCACGATTTTATTATTATTAAATAAACTTTTTTTTAATTTAAGCTTCGAATATTGATTCATGTATAAAAAAGTCTAGCTAGCCCTCATTAAATTAAATCATTAACTTACATAAAATAAAAAGTTCTTTAATATATTAGATAATTTCATTTTAAATTATGATTAATTTTTACAATAATTTTTTTCTGTTTAATTAAAATGAATGCAAATAGATAGTTTATAAACAATAATGATAAATGGCTTGCAACCAAAATTAAAAGCTTAGCGAAGATACCGGAAAGTGAATATCATTCGTCCTAAAAGCCACTTTACGAATCCTTATTGCAAAGGGATACCCATGAAAATAGAGTTCTTTGAAAATCATTGCGATTTTTTGAAAACAGAAATTTTATGATGCTAATTAAATTAAAGGGAAAAAAATCACCGTTTGATAAATCTTCAATTTCATTTGCTTACCTTAAGCTGAAGGTTACGCACAGCACAACACAAAGGGCTTTCAAATAAAATGATAATCGTTTATAACAATCAGTCATTCTGATCAGCCTTTGTAAAACTCTGGTATTGTTAAGCACGGTATCATATAGCATATGCCTTCAGACCGTTTCCATAAGCATATTTTCTGACATCAACTGACAGGCAATCACGTCTATTTTAACTATTCAACAAGAATAAGAATAAATCTTTTCCTTTACCAGAATGATTCTAAAGCCTTTTAAATATTAAACGTTGTTCAACTCAAATTATTCAAATAGGAATGCCCACTTTTGATGTGAAGGGAACAAATCGTTAAAAAATACCATTCTTTTCCTTAATTTTTTTCGGAACAAGTGCTGTTTTTATTCAAGAAAGCTGTTTTTAAATCATCAAATCATAGCATGTTCCAATAACACATTTTTTTATATATACTTGTCGTTAATGTAGTCAGTCATACCGTAGTATACTTGGAGAGTAAATATTGAATATGAAGGTATAAAAGCATTGCTCTGAGAGAACTAAATGGCAATGAGAAAATAAAAACAAAACATTCTTAACAGGCGATTTTGTCAAGATCCAAAAATCTAGTTAAACGCAGAATTACTGTATTTATTAATCGCTGGATATGCGATAATATACTTCATCACGATTTACTGTTACTCTGGCAACTGTTATGTTTTTATTCATTATTGACTCTAATCAGCAAAAACATAACTGTGAATAATAAATTTTGTCATTCATAAGTGGGCATCGAATTTCGATAACTGTGAAATAATCACGCGTGTCAGGAAGCAACATCTGTGAGGTAACCAGATATAAAATTAAAAGCTGTCTCTAAATAATGGGTATCAGGCAACGAAGCATAAAATTTAGTTTTATAAACAGTCTCAAACTTATTTGTTTTTATATCAGATGGATGAAAACAAAAGATTACCAGCGGCTGTTCCCACACTTTTTAGACGAATTTTATTGTTTTTACAGAAATATTTTACCAAAACATTTGGTGTTTTAAATGTTGCATTTGATTGCTCTCATTCTTCACTATTTTTCTACACTGTACTTTCCAAAAGAATAAAACCTTTTTTAGTATCGAAACATATATTTTATCCCATTTCTTCTTGAACAACTTTACAAAGTCTAAGGAGTGTTGTAGGTCGACGTTTGGGCAATTTGCTTTTTAAAAGTCCGAAATCGCAAAACTCCATCGATCAGAAGATATAGTAGGGTTATGAGTGAAGGGTATGGCCATGATAAATGTTTTTAGTTCCATTTTTTCCAGGAAATTAATGGGGAATTTTGACGTGGGGCTGCTTGCTCTGTCTTGATGCACTTCCACTGGTTAATGGCACTGCGGATAAAGAGAAGATATTTTATATTTGAAAATTGGGCATAAAATATGTTCCTGATAATATGCGGAGTTGATCTTAACAGTGTTATGCACTCTCTTTAATTTTATTTGTCATTATATCAAAAACCAGCAACAATCATATATTCTTTTAAAAAACTTTCTTTAGATTCTTTCAAACATGTTCTAAGATTTTTTCTTCTCTTTGATGATAATAAATGGATCTTTTTTTGTTGCGGTCATTTAAATATACACAAGATTCATCTTTAGTGACACCTTTTTTCCATTTTTGACCTAATAATTATTTCTCATACAGAATTCTGCAGCGTATTCAGCTTTTGGAGATATGTCGTGGAGAAAGACGATGCATATTATTACGTTTCTTCGTCCTTTTAAGATTCAAATCAGCATTCATCACTTTGTTTTCAGGTGGCACTGAGCATTTTAATGATTATGCAACTATTCTTTGACTTAGCAGGTTGTCTTTTAATATTAAAGTTCACCACATTTTTATTTCCCTTTGCAACATTCGAAACATTACGTTTTTATCTTAGATATGTAATTTGAACAATATTTCTTCTTGAAGCCAAATTTCGGTGTTTTTTTTTGCTTTCTTGTTGATAATAATATCTATTTTTAATAACTAAACACGAAACTGGTTAATGGCACTTCGGAAAGAACTCAAATTTAGCTTTCCATCCATTGCTTCTTTAAAAGCGCCATTTTTTATGAAAAGAAAATTTTCAAGTAGTAGACGATAATTTGCACTTTCAAAAATATAGCTGCAGTTTAAAAACAAATTCCAAGCGGGCGATACTTTTTATAGAAAAGCAAAGTCGTCCAAAAAATGTGCGAACACCCTTTGTATTCCCCAGTGAAATAAGAAAGAATAAGGTAAATTTTACCAACTATGAAGTGATATAAAATTATTTCATTTGCTCGAACATGTTTTCTATAATGTACCGACTATTCAATAAGACGATAGAGAAGACATTTAAAAATTTCTACACAAACTCAAAATTCTATTCGTTTTGTGTATTAAAAATTAATAGAATTAAAAATTTTTATAATGGTAAAATTTTACCGGCTCAGGCATACGAATGATAATTCAAGATTATTGATTTCATGACACTGACTGTATCAGCCAACCCATGTTTTCTTGTAATGTTCTTATTGTATAGTTATCGTATTTGTTGCATTTCTTAATGAATCAATTCCGAAATATTAATTCACCACATCTTTTATTTTAAAAGTGCAATTTTTTCTTAAAAGCTGAAAAAGCTTCTTTAGCGATCTAATGAACGGTCATTCTAGAACCTTTGTTTATAGCCTTTCTCAATATTCTCTTCATATCTGCTCATTTAAGAATGCCCAAGTTATAGCACGTCTTATTATTAATCTAATAGGTCGCCTTTAAATCTGCAAAATCCCTTTTACACTTGCGATTTGCTCAAAGAGTAACATTTAAATCTTTTCAGAAGCATAACAACAGTCTCGGTTGTTCATGCTCTATTTTCAGCTCACCCTTTTTCTTGAAAAAATTCGTAATTGAAAATTATTAGCATTAATTATGCGTGTGCGTGTGATTATGGCAAAGCAGACGATGGCTATCTGCCTAAAGGAAGGGTTGCCTTCGTGGAGAACTCTCTAAGGGAAACTGGTTCGTATACACGTTACACATGGGGAAACCACAAAACGACCATGCAGCCAGCCCGTTCGCGGGATTCGAACCCTCGGGCCGAACTATCAGTGTTCAGCGACTTTACCGCTCGGCCGCTGGTGGGCGCATTAATAATGAATAGTAATTAATTTTATATTTTATTAATACGAAATTTCATAAAGAAATACGGACCATATTTCATTTTTAGTGAGAGAATATTTTTTTTAATAATAATTAATGGTTTTCGTATATTAATTACATTTTATTTTGGTTTTCTAACCCTTCTTAGGATCTTTGTATATGAAGATTTCTGAATGTGAGCCTCCAAAATTTCATTTCAGTTACTGATGAATAAAATAACTATTCATACTCTATACGTCCAGGCTTTATATTTTAAGCTCATGTAGTTAAATAAACTATAGTAAGATTCAGCATCCATTTTTAAAGTACTGTTAATATTTAATATGTATTTATGCACAGTGATTCTGTACTACCTGCACACATTTCTGGGAGGAGTAGGCTACTCAAAGACGAATAGGGATCAAATAGCAATGCAGGATCAAAAACGCCATCTTATATGAAGATGTGCAGAGAAAGTGAGAAAAGAAAGAACAACAGGCTCTACTTTTATATGCGCCATAATTTCCCAAATGTGGCGATATGCGTTCTGCGCTGTATTCTCCATGGTGTTGTATGGCAACCCTGTTACATTGAAAAATCTTTTCCTGGAGTGTTTTAATTGCTCGTTGGTTCGTGTCGTGCGTGTTTTGAAATGTCCTATGTTGCAATGATAGACGTGGTGAGAAGATTTCAGTTGCGTATTTTAGATTGTGTGGAAAGTAAATTTAGTATTAAAAGGTACGATGTTGGAATTGTTAACGAGTCTTTTGTTCACGGGTGTGTTTATGAGGATTGAAGTGTATTTTTGGAATTTCTGTGTGACTTTTAAAACGGAGTGCGAAATGCGGAGCTGCTATGAGAACTCGGACGAAGAAGGGAGTTTCTGGTAGTTGTTCGTGGATTTGCAGTCAAATGGTTCAGCGGAGTTTAAGATTTGGATTGTGGTTTTGTGTAGTAATTTAACTTTGGAGGAAGTTTTATCGTTACTTTCGAAATTTTGAATCTCAGAAAGACATGTGATATAGCAAAATAATGGCACTTTTGTTCAGAGACGTTGTGTGACCGGCGAAATTTTATTCAGGAATGTATTATGTTAAGTGCATTTTATTTTACTGTTTTTATTTTGTAGATTGTTATGTTAATTGCTTTTTAATATGGATTTTTTTTGTTATTGTTGTTTTTTGAAATGTTTGTAATTTAGTTTAGTTTATTTGGTTGATTTGTGCGCAATGCCTAAATTGTGCAATTCGTAGATTTTTTTTAAAGTTTAAACAGGATGGTATTCTTTGAAATTTATTGTTGTTATGTTAATTTATTAAAGCAAGGTGTGCGTAGTTCGTAGATTCGTTCGTTGCCTAGATTGTGCAATTCGTAGATTTTTTTTCAAGTTAAAATATATCGCTGTGTACATGGATTCTTGTCAAATATTTTTGGTTAGAAACTTTACTTTTTTGCTATCTAAATTTTTTGTTTTTGTTTCGGATTTTTAGCTTAAATTGTGTGTTCAAAACGTGTTTTTTGCATCTGCGAAAACCGCGTTTTTGGAGACATTTTAGACTTAAAATTTGAAATGTAGACCAAAAATTTAGATAGTAATATGGCAGCGTGGAGGCTTTCGCCAAAAATGTTTGGCTACCTGAGGGCGCATATAAGAGTAGTTCCGAACAACACGTAAATGAAAAACATTATTTTTATTAATAAATATATATAAATGCGATATTAAGAGGAGTTACAGTGACTTCTGTTAATATCGTAGTTTCAGCTATCTGCTGCAACAGAGGTCTGACATCGGCGCCGCACGGAAATATTACGGGAAGGTTTCGAACGGCCGTGATAGCTACATAGACGTATGTGACAATTTGCTGTTCCTTGTTCCCGGGTGTATTGTACACCAGATCTTTCATGTGCCCTTCCCTAAACAAGGGGTTATATGGCCAACAATTGGCAAGCCAGATGAATGATACCAGAAACACCACCAATCCGTTACGGCTGAAATGGATTGGGCCCCAACATTCTGAAACCACATATTATGATGCAGCGACTGCTGGGATTGTTGGTCACTTCACAGTTCGGGGAAGACTGCCTCAGAAAACGTGTTATAACTCTGCTCTTACAAATAAGCATGCGAGAGATATGGATCTATAAAGTTGTCACCCACAATGGACGATATACTGCACATGTTCCTATAGCGTAAGATCTTCATTACACAATAATGCAACTGCAAGTGTATGTCCATTACGAAATAGAAATATAAAAATATTAGTGAATTTGTAAGTGTATCTTTACACGTAAAGTATATTTGAACTGCAAATAAATTTTTAATAAATCGCCCTGAGATAGTATATGAAATTTCTTTCGGTTAATCATCGAGATCGAAAGCTATCACAACTACGATTCAGTAATGTCTAATTGATAACCAAAAGTGCTGTCATGAATGCTTAAACGCAAGTAATTCAGAAAAAGATTAAAAAAAAATGTAACTATTTATTTTTAACTATTAACTATTTTTTCCAACTTTTAACAGAAAAATCAAACTTTATTAAGTTTTCGTGCTAATACTGTTGCTAACAAGTAGTAGATTTTACTTCCAGTAGAAAGAAATATCGTAATTTTGTTCATAACATTTGCTGGCTTTGTTAATTAAAGTTTTTTTCAATAAGGTCATCTCTAATACTGGATATAAGTTTAGTTCTTGTTTCAGTTACAGCATTGAAAATGCTCTTGCATTCTGAATTGCTATATCCCACGCAATCAATCAAATATCTTTAACAATTGCACTTGATTAATTTTTTAACAACTACACTTGTTTAAAATTAAGCAAGAAAAGCAACTCTAGCTAAGAAAGAATAGATTTTGAATAAAACTACGCTGAATTTGAAGGCGAGCAGAAAATGGTCCTTCTTCTTTAGGAATAAATCTATGTCAAATTATGATTGCTTTTTTTGGTGTGTTTCTCTTCCAATTTGACCTACACTCGTTTTTGTTTTCGTACTTGAGCACTATTTTGTTACCGAGGAATGAAATTCTAATTGAATCTAAAGCATGAAACATTCAGATTCTATAAGATAGTGAAAGGGAAAAGAATAAAAATTCCGTATAAATAATATTTTTTTTAAATTTAATTTCTTTCTTTTTTATTTTAGAGCAAATTTGATTACCCCAAGCACATGTTTATGAACATTGATTCTTCCAACATCTGAAATAGAAAAATAGCAACAGCAAACGGTACGCAAGGCTAATACTACAACGAAAGACATTGTGTACGATTTATGAAAAGTGCATGAATATTTTACTTCCTTTGCAATAAAGATCAGATATTATTTAACTCTTTTCGAAGCACACAAGTTTCACACCAGTTATAGTTCGACTGCTTCATCCGCGACCACGAACACAAACACGCATGCGCTATTCGGATCGAATTATTTTCAAAATATGATGGATGAATGGGGACTTTCTTTCCGTCCAGCGTAACTCTTTCCGGAGAAAAGGTGACCTTTCACGTAGCAACAAGTAAATAACGGCCCTTTTGGACGAGTCTATGTGTTTTGGCAGAATGCCAGCCAGGGTTGCGTTTGAGACGGTCGGACTATAGCTACTAAACAAAGAACAGCTTCGATCATGTTTCGTATTTCTCCGCTAGTATGAAATGGAGTGGCTCTTGATGCTCACTGGAAAAATGGAACATTCTGCTTTCGCTTGCTTTTCTCTAACGGCCATGAATTTGTTGATTAAGCATTTATCGAAGGTTGTGGCAAAACTCATTGGTTAGCCATCCCATTGCCATGAAAGTAACGCAAGGAGCACCGCAGGAAAACGACAGCATTTACAATAGCGGAGAAAAAAAGACCATTCTTCAAAATTTGAAAATCTCTGGGGACGGATTTGAGGGGTCTTCCACCTTTCTGCTCTTTCTACCAAATTCTTGAACAGACTTTAAGCTCGACAGTACTTTAAGTGCCCCATATTGCAAATACACTATACAGATAAAATCATCCATGCCTTCTCCGAGATTCGAAACCTGGGCCCTACCACTGTACCGATAGACGACTGCTTTTACATGCTTAAATGTAGGCCCTAATGTCTCGCTAATTTTCCAGAGAAAAATCAAGCAATTTTAAACTCGTGAAATAATGTTTTGGGTGCAAGTTAAAGCATCTAAAACCATGATTTCTTGAGCTACGTACAACAGTGAAAAATTTTCTTTCCACCGAAATTCAATATCGAATTTGTTTTATTATCTCTTTCATATTTTGCAAACCTTTAACGAATTTTTGATTAACAAACCCAACGATTTCAAAGCAAGCAATGGCAACACTGTACGAAAAAAAAAAAAAAAAAAAAAAAAAAAAAAAAAAAAAAAACCATTTTATTTCGAAAGCGAGAGACTAAATTTAATTTCTTTTATTTCTTTCTGTTGGAAATTCTAATTATATGCTGCTTTTTAATATTTTGTGATATTGCTGTTGAATTGAATTTTACATGGTTTAAGTGCGAAGAACATGATATTTAATAAATAAGGGTAACACATGAAACGCTAAAAAAACGCTTCTTTAGGCGTCATCTAAAAATCTGAAAGCTTTCAGATTTTTTTAAAAACTTTTTCCCATTCTTAAAATTAAAATATGTTGCGAGAATTTGAAGCTTATCATTTTACGCATATACAGTAGATATAAATACATAATTCCACGTAATTACTCAGAGATAAAGTATTCTCGTTTAATAGTATTTTACATCTTAGAAAGGCACAGTGCTGTATGTTATATAAACCTGCCGCATGGGAGTGAGACTTTTGGAACTCAAACTTGAAAGTGATTCACTTAAGTTCGCTATAAGTATAGCATGGAAGAAACTTCGTTTCTCGGTTGTTTGAAGTCATCACTAGCAGTATGTGGTTGTTAAGTCTGCTATTCGTATATGGTAAAATTAAGACTTGTTGCTATTATTTAATCTTTACTTTTGTTGTCATGTTTTTTTATTTTGCTTGGTGGTTATTGTACAAAATGGATTTTTTTATTTTTATAGGCTGTCTGCCTTTTATTAGTTGTGAAGATTGTATTGAAAGAATTCTGCAATGTTCAAACGTGCGAAATCAGACGGAAAGTAGGGAATTTTTGCCAGATACAGATGAAAGTCTCGAAGAATTATGCCGGTAAAATTTTATTACATCGCTTTTAAATGCGATTTTTTGTTCTTAATCGTTTGTTAGTATTTACACAACTTTCATGTACTAGAATCTAACGGTTTAATATTTTTCGTACTACTTAATCTGCTAAGAAAAATAAATATTACAAAGTTTTAGGTACTTTATTGGCTTTGCTTTTGAAATAAAAAAAATTTAATTATAGTTTAATTACCCTTTTTCTTGACAATGAAGTGTAGTCACAATATTGTATTCCGGAGTTGAAATACTGTAGAATAATTCTTATTTGGAAGAAAATTTATAAAGTGTTCATTTACACTTTTGGATTGAAATTTAGTTTTTACAAATAAGGTTGTTTATTCAAAAGGCTTTGTAATGGGGCTTTATTCAGTAAAATGATTTAACTTTTCGTCTGCAATTCGCTTAGAAATGAAACGGGATATTGAAATTTTAAAATATGTGCATTTGTATTCCAAACCTTTTTGTGTAAATGAACTGCAATAATTTGCATGTTACCATGATATTTCCTAACATTAAATTTTCGGAAACATCCAGAAGTAAATTTTAGCATGAACTTAAAAAAAATCTGAAAATGAAATAACCTAACACAGATTGCCTTTTGTCATAGTGCAAACAGAGCAGTGGGTAACTACAAAGTTATCCTTTAACTTTCTTAAGTAAAAACTCCAAGATTTGACCATTTGAATTTTAAATTACGTACAATATGCTGTTAATTAAGTTAATTTCTTTCAGATTGAATCGAGTATATTTAATTTCTTTTCCAAACAGAATTTAGAGTAGCATCAGTTCTTAATGATGTAATAACAACCAAATGTAATGTTGCATTAATGTAATGATGTAATAAGTTATTAAATTTCTTAAAAGTTTTAAATAGTACGATAGCCTGCTCCCTCGTGAAAAACTTCCTAATGTAAGTATTGCTCCAAAAAATTCAAATATTCGGTAATTAAATTCATAGGATTTAAAAACTGCTGCTAATTCTTTAATTGCAGTTCCTAGGAATGATGTGGTACATTACATTTTTCATTAACACTTACGTGAAGCAAAGCAATTGCTATAATACACAATGTCTCAATCAAATGTACTTTTATTCTTATTTCATTGTCAGTTTCTTTATTTTCCTTTAACAACGCACGAGTTGTGAGTAAACTAATGAAATAATCCTTCCTGCAGGATGCACAGGTTTAAGCAATTTACTTTGCAGCATAATTCAGGCAAATTAGAAATAATATGGTTTATGATTAACTAGTAATTCGGCTTCCCGAATGGTAAAATCTCAACACTAGTAGTTCAGTCTTGGGTTCGATTCCAGGTAAAACGGGTTGGCTGCTTGGACGTTTCCATGATTTTCATAATGTGCAACTAGGACATATGAACAGGTTTCCCTTCGGAAGTACTCCACGAAGACATCCCTTTCCTTAGGCAAATGCCTGCACCTAGCTTTGCTGTAATAAACCAGATCATCTATTGAATTATTAATTTATTTTTCAGGCCCGCCAGCGGGTGAATTAGCAGTGTTCAGCGAATTTACAGTCGCTGAACACTGCTAATTCGTTCCGGGTTCCAATTCCGCGAACAGGCTGGCTGCATGGGGCGTTTTCGTGGTCTTCGCCATGTGCAACTCTTATATGAACCAGTTTACCTCGGAAAGTCCTCCACGGAGGTTTACCTCCTCTTAGATAGCTCTCGAGGCTTTGCAATAATCGCAAAAAACAAACCAATAACAAGCAATCCAATCCACGGTATCTATAACCATTTATGATTAAATGTTCATATTTCACCGAAATATAGAGGTTTTAAAAGGTGCATTCAAGATATTTGTTTCCTATTCCCAATCTTAATTTCTAGACCGACATGTAATTTTAAATTCGGATTAAACGCATCCAAGATGTCCTATATACATCAAATTACCTGATTAAGTCTTTGCTCCATAACTTCGAAGCTCTTGTACTGTTAACAGTTTAAACATAGTTTCACGAACAGAAAACTCCATGTTCTCACTAAGTGTTCTAACATGTCATACCAATTGCCTCTTGGTTATTTGTAGGAATTTGCATGAAAATTACCACCAAAAGCGACTGTTTCACAGTATGGAAACTTCATTTGAATCAATATTGAGGATTCATTAGATTAAATTAGAATTATTTATTGCATTAAATTTCACTTACAACTTGAACAGTAGCTTAGTGAGAGCATTCGCATAGTTTGAAATTTTGGTTGCTCGTTTTTATATTTCAAGCGCATGATACACATTCCAACGTATGAATGTCTTAACGTTAAAGCCCTTTGTATGGACTAATATAAATCTCAATCTCATTTTGGATGTCTCGAAAGAGTTCTGGCCTTGAAGTTTCCATTTTTCTTACAAATAAAGTATGAATGCAACATGCTTAATCTTGCTCTCAATTTATAGTTACATAATTATTTAAATATTTTGTGTAATGGATTTGCAGTAACTGTTAAAAAGAATTAAGATACTGCAACAACCCCAAAATCTGTGCTTCGATCTAGGCCTGATCGCATAAAAATGTCTTAAGATTAAATAAGCGTTAACGTTGAAGGAATTCTATACTGTATTTCTGAAGAGGTTTTACATCAAGAACATTTTGGAGGGAGAATGGGAGCCATGGCTTATGTACAAATTTAGTGCATGACCGAAATTCGGCAATATAAATTCCTCATTTGAATGATGGGTTTGCACAGTCATAATACTTCATAGCCAGCACATTACTCCCATTCTCCTTCACCCATGAGTTTTGTGCCAAAAAACCCCCAACCAACCCATTCTCCTTCAAAAATGTTACTCTCTTTATACTTCACCTTCCAGTTTTGAATTCTTTCAACTGGAACATTTTTTCTCTTGCAAAGGCGAAATGGGAAGAACCTTCTATAAAGTAACATTCTGAAGGAAAACGTTAGTTTTTAATTTGCCGAAATCAGCTGTCCATTTCTACTTCAACTGAAACTTTCAGTTACGTAATTTCTAAAATCGACGTTGCCTTTTACTAAACATTTTTCTCAATACAATTCATAGGAAGCAAAATGCCAAGTGATAATTTTTTCTAACTTGTAAGCTACATGCTTGTCGCATTAAGTCATAATTAATATACCGTCACTAAAATTTATTTTATGCTTTATTAAGCATTGTAGTTAGCAAGAAATGCTGTTATTTGAAACTATAAAATGAGAAATCGCTTGTTTAAGCACTTGGGCAAAATTCCGTTTACAATACACCATTTTCTCTGCGAACGTACTCGGTAATTTAGAATTTCTAACGATAAAAGAGAACATATTTCTTGAAAGGGAACGTTGAACAGAAAACTGAATTATTTCTACAGATATAACTACAGAAGATCCACACTCCTGTTAAATTCGAGGTATACTAAATCTTCTACCAAATTCCAACAATCTAAATTGATTAATCACGAGGTCGCGTAGAACGTGCATTAATTTTTCCCTCTGTAATAACTGACCGGATGAAGGCGTCATAAATTACTGATGGCGAAATGAAAGCTGAAAAAATTCGAGAAGATTCTGTTGAAGATTTTAACGTCTAATCTTGTATTCTTAAGAAAAGCCGATAACAAATGCAGGGCACCTTGAAATTCTTATCCCTTCTCTTGTAAAAGTTTTGGAATTGCTCATATCTAATAAGCACCTTAATGTAGATAAAGCCGCTGAACTCTAGTGTTCCTATCTGAACATGTTTTAGTCGCCAATTTTCTTCGAAGTCTTTTACAAAGGCTGTCCCTTCGCTTGGGCAAATAGCTCTGATATGCTTTGCCATAAGCTATTGTCAAAGATTTACAACATTATGTAGATGCTGCCTCAGCAGCATAGGAATGATGCTCATTGAAATGATGGTGAAGTTTACTACTCTGGATCCATTAAATATTTGATTTTCATTCCTGGAAAATAGCTGAGTATGAAAAATTTGGGTTTTGTTGTGGTCTACAGCTTCATGGTCAGATAAACATCTTGAATCTCTTGAAACAGCCTTCGTTTAACTTGTAATTGTTTAATTCGCTAATCTTCATTTTGCCAATATTTTCAGTTCTCAAGAGCCATACATCAGATGTGTTTTTGATGTTGCGATATCATGCACTGAAGAACTTTCTGGCCTAGTCAAGTTGAAGTTTCTGAGTAACGAAGGCTTCTTTCAACAGTTTTGCAGACGTGGATCAGACTGGTGGACAAGTGAGTACATTACCCGAAGTTAGATTTTGAATAATGCTTATCTTTTACTGCATTTTAAACAGACTTTCAATTAAATTATCTTTCATTTCTGATTAAAATATTCAGTTTTTGCACTTCTCAACCACCAACGTTTGAGTTTTAACTAAATTCTCGTAGCCTTCTGATGAAACCTTAAGATAAAAATCTGAATTTTTCAGCAAGGATTCTAAGATAAGCATGTAGAAACTTTGTGTTTCAGAATACAAAGCGTGTAACTTACCAATTGACAGTTCCAAACTTCTACTGATGATGTAAGCTTTATCGGATACATTACGTTTTATTTCTGCATTTCAAGGCATTCTGTATACTTATACCATTACATTTGATAATGTAAAGAGAAGGCTAGTAATACAAGAATGTGGTTCGTCGTTAATATGGTTTCTTGTAAACTTAACGATGTTTGCACAATCGCTGTTCAGTTATAACTTTATCATCAGTTGAAAAATTACCTAAATTGGTTACTGTAACAAATGTGATTTATTCTTCAAATTGTGGATCTTTAGGACCTGTTAACTTTAAGGCACTAGGCCTTCGAGTCTAATCTCTATCTTCCGTGAGTCATTCAAGGCAGTTCTGAGTTATTCGATATCTTGAACTTAAGTGCGACAAAGGAAGTTTCTTTCAGTGTAACTCCCAGCGCTAAAATGCTCATCAAGAAACTCTACAATTAGTTACCATATTTTCAAAGAAACTAAATACAGAGTTTGTTTGCCGATGCCGAGCATTTCGGGGATTTAGCAGGATTTGAAAATTCCATAGAATCTATCTTGCATCGCCAAAAAATAAATGCGTTTTTACAATTTCTTTTTTACATAGATTTAGTAGTTGCCTTTCTAACTGAACCTTTAAATGATCGAAAGACGTGAGATATTCTAGCTTTATTTCTAGCAACATCATTATTTTAGTGATTAAACATTGCAGTTTACTGTAATGAATTTTAAACTGGTTTCGGAAATAAACATATTCACTCGGCACTCAAACTCAAAGCTACCTGCTTAAAATTAACTGCCAATCAACTGAAGGTTTTAGTCATGAATTTTTGTTGCTAAAGCTTTCAGATTTCACCCCTCTTTCAGAATTTTTGTATGAAATACTCGCATGAAGTTTCGCCTTCGACGATAGTACATTATGTTCTTTGAAGTTATGATCAAATTGCTTGTGCTTTATTAATGCTGTCATCCATGTTTTCACTGAAATGTCAACTTTGTGAACAAATGTGGACTCGAGCAATAGGTTTCGTTTTAACTCTCGTTTTAAGTGTAAAAATTAATGATGCATTGGATTACTTAAAAATTTATTACAAATACGCGTATCGGAAATCACACCGATATAGATGTTCATACTTAATGATTCACATAAGTAAATTCGAAAACCCAAAGAATCTGTTTCTTAACCCGTTCACTACTAACGGGACGCATGTCCCAGCAAAAGTTTAAAAAGTACTTAAAATCTCCTGAATGATGGGTATCGTCTTCCAATACTTGAAAAATAAATTAATGGAAGCCACTGTGCTCTTTCTACACAAATGAATAAAGAAAAGGACAAATAAAGTTCCCGGTGTGTAATGTTGGGTTATATAAAATGCTTTACCCTGTATAATACAGTGTAAAATCTATTTCATATAAAAGTTTTAAAGAGCGATAGACTTATCGCTACATGTGGGACGTATGTATCCCACCATTAACTACATCTCAGACTTGTGTCCCAACCTTTGCCTTGAAAACCGTTTGTCAAAACAAATACCAAATGCTAAATTTACCTTATTTGTGACATAGTTTGTTCATTGGGATAGAAAAGTCAGTAAGAAAAATTTAGTTAGAAGAATAAACGAAATAAGTTCGTGAGAAATTTAAAACTAGATTCACTTAAATACAGAAGCAAAATCTGAAAGGTTTTAGATTTTAACCGTCGCTCAAAACGGTTAAGGCATTTTTAAGTTGGCAGTGCTCTTGCATTTACTCTTGCCAATCTGTCTTTTTAGCTTTATTACAAAGCATTTTCTTTGCATTTATGCCATATATAATTCAACAAACTAAAAAAATTTTAAAAGCAGCATATTTTTGCAATTCCCGATAAGCATGGATTCATGTTAAGCGTCCATGTGTAACGTGTATACGAGTCGGTTTGCCTTAGAAAGTCCTCAACGAAGGCATCCCTCCCTTTAGGCAGATAGCCCTAATGTGCTTTGCCATAATTAAATAAACCAAACCATGTTAAGCATGGCATGCAGTTCTAATTTTTCCAGGTTTTTAGTTCATTATATCAATGTTCAGTTTTCTTGGTAAGCTAGCATGCAAAACTGTCTTGTTAACGTTTGGTGTGTTAACTTCATTTAATATAAAGTTTTTCGCACTTAAGCTACATAAAATTCGGTTTAATAGCAAAATTTAAAAACAGCACATCGTTAGAATTTCCGATGTAGTCTTGCTCGCTGATATTAATGTTTTATTCTGTACCACTCCTAGCTTTGAAATCATTGATTTTGATACTCAAAATTCATAAGTTTTTATGATGTGAAATGATAAAATTCGAATTTGAATCGGGTGCAAATCGTCGAGTGGAAGATTCAGTTATTCAAAACTGAATGCCTCTATGTGCACTCGTTATTTTTTTTGCAGTGCGAGCAACATGCATGCATACATTAATGTTGATTCTTCCCCATTTAATTTCATTAAATATAATGCAGGAGTCTAATATTTCGGGCCAATAATTTGAAAAGGGATTCAGACATTTGAAGTGATACACCGCAAATTCCCGTTTCGACACTAATAACCCTTTCGGGCTAAAAATAGAATACTTTACTCCCTTTTGCACTTTATCTTTTGCCCATTCAACGCGACGCTAGATTATATTAAACGTGTACTAATTTTAGCGAACTAAAATAACATGTCTCACTACAATAAGGACATTTCCAGAATTTCGTTAATTCTAAGCCTTTCAAAGATTAAAATCTACCAGTAACTGATGGAAAGACTGCTGAACACTGTCAATTAGATTACTTTGAAACTCTGTGAATTCACTGGCTTTAAGTTACATTTCAAGATTGGTCCTCTAAAGGTAATGGGAACATGAGCCCCTTGGTCACTTACTCTTACGAATATCACTCACTTAGGCGAGGTATCTCTTGCACGCAAAACGCAAAGTTGAAATACCTGTTAATCCTATTTAATCTTCAGTTTTCAGTACATACGTAGATGCATAATCCTTTTTAACTTAATTTTGAGTAGGCACCAAATTATCTTTAGCATTTTTAGAATCAATTTGCAGAAGAGTTTGGCCAAATTCTTCTGCATTTTGAAAGTTCTAAGTAGAGCTGCATTGCCAGTTCCAGTTAATCTTCGCAATTCAACTTTCTGTCTGCAGATTATTAGCAGCTAAATTTTTCTGCCTGTACTTCTAAATGAGAAATCAAATTTCTGAAAGAATTTGAGTTAGTTTCAGACTTTCCTGCAAGAATATTTAAATTGAAATGTTGCGCGCCTATCATAAGCTAAATCTTCAGTGTCTCTCTAACTCTTAGTTTAGCGCTGATTTTATTAAGCATTACTTTCGGCAACACCTGATGAGGGATTCTAATGGCAAGTAGCTTAAATTTGTCTGCTTTGATTACACTGATAGTGTTGTATCTAAAATAAGCAGCCTGCTCATCCTGACACGTTTGGCGTATATATTTTGAAGACGTGGAAGAAATGAAGGTATGCGTGTAGGTGATTAGATTCGTTTATGAATTTTCTAGACACTTCTTGTTATTTAGACTAAATTTAACGTATGCGACTGATTTTAAAAGATGCTTGTTGCCTACTGACTTAAATTTCTTGCAGAAATGTTTCGCTTTAAGTGTTATTGCTTATAAAAGTTCTGTTAAGTACAGAGTGTTTTTTTCTCGATTCTGATGCAGTAGGAAAGCTGAAGTGATGAAAAATCTTATAGTATCTAAAGCATTTGGTGGATTGAGACTTCCTGTGTAAGTTTTTATTTCCCGTCCTAATTTTCAGGTAAAATGGATGGCATTTTGCTACAAATGATCAACGTAAATTTATCGCAAATGAACATTAATAATCCATTTCTATGGAAATGGAATGAAAAATTTCTAGTAGGTAAACCTAATTGGAGAAAGTTCATAATTTGTTAGAAATATACCGCAGACGGTAATCGGGCTATACCCAGGCTTATATCTACTCGTTAAAAGGTTTAAAAACTTTTAACGACTACGAATTCTTCTGCGAACAAAATGAGCTTTTGATACCCGATAAGACGTTGTATTTAAAAGTTTTTGACTGGTCAAATGGATCCCAATTGCTTTTATCCAAGCTTCTGTAATTATGTAGCATTTAAACTGAAGCTAGAATGATGATTTTTCTTTATAAAAGAACCGGTAAGAGTGTTCAGAAATATCGACTAAGGCTCTCTCATTTAGAACTCTGTAGATAGGAATACTCCTCAATTTGGTTTGCGGCAGTATCTTTCTAAACGGATTTTGACCATTCTTGTGCAAATAATAAAATTCATCAGACTGGCTAGTTATGCCAAACCTTTGTTAAAAGTTTGTTTTTCAAAAAATAGCTTCTTAACACGTTGAGCGCGGCGCCGAATTTGCTGTCCTTTCCGTTCAGCCGCCGACAGCGATCAAGCGGTGCAATGCTGCAGGATGATCCGCGACTTCATGCACTGATTAGAGATTATCTGTTGGTGAGCTTTGTCGGCTACCGACATACGCGCCCTACCTGTGCGTGGCGCAAAGCTCATGGTTGCCAATGTTAATACTATCGGTCCTGCGGACCGACGCCAGCCAAACGAAATTCCAGTGCCGGTCCCCAAGAACCGGCGCCGGGCACAATGTGTTCCTGCCGGTCCCTAGGGACCGACGCCGGCCACACTGAAAGTTAACTGCCGGTCCCCAGGGCCCGGCGCCGCGCTCAACGTGTTAAGCATTTCACATGAATGAGTTTTTTGATGCATTTACACAAAAGTTTGCTCACCCATGCGAGCAGAAAAATAGTAATTAGCGTACTTATCTAGTAACTTGAGTAAAATATAACTCGATGTTCTGGCTTATTTAGATATTTCTGTGACTCGTGACATTGTGCATTATTCAGTTCAATCTTGGCAAAATTCGTTGTTTAGTGGTCAGTTTTCAGACTAGTAGTAAACGTCCATTTTTGGATTTCTTTCAATATTTGAAATTGGTTTTAATTTCCAATTAATGTATTTCAAGAGGTGTTCCTAAAGGCCCAAGGAGATATTTTTATTCCGACTTTAATTTGATCTATGTAATAATACAATATTTTATATATCTTTACAAATCTTCCATATTAAACAAATTTTATTTATACTGTACAGATATTAATTAGCTGTTATCTTATTACTTTGCAGGCTATCTAGAAATTTCTAAATGCGTTAACCGGCGAAAGTTCCAGGTGTGTATTGTTTCTGATTACATCGGAGCTCTTAAAGACCAATATGATATAGAAAGGAAATGTTCGTAAGTATTTTGAAATGGAAACTAGAAATCCAGGAAATAGTTTAGATATTTAACTCTTCATTTCTGCATAAAAACAGATTTCAGGAATTCTGTTGCACGAAAAGAAACTTTTAATTTCGTATATTGAGCTAAATTTTTTAAAATTCCCTGCGAAGTAAATATTTCGGGTTACTAAATTAATCTTAACTTCAGCTGGAGTATTTGCAATTGTGGCAATTTAAGTTCAAAATAACTTCCTACACTTAACTGAAGTTTCATAATTAAACATTTATTTGCTAATTAAGGATTTCAAATATTTTAAAGAATCTTACTGATTTTACGACTATTAGCTCAGCTTTTCACAAATGGATTTATGACAATTCTTCATGGAACCAAACTGTTTTAATTTCTTTTCCTTTGCGTTTCGTATTCTAGTACTTAGCATTCTCATTCTTGATTGCGCTAATATTTCGACTCTGTTTGATTCAGCAACTTCATTCAATTTTCCATACTAAAATGCTATTCCGCAGAAATGCCCTTTGCGATGAATACGCAAGATATTTTATTTCCAATTTCAGCTATCTGAAATTGCATAAATATGGTGTTGTCTTCAGTATTTTATAGTTAGACAATACACATTTAAAAGCTAAATAAGATTCATTTCAAAAGTCAAATTAAATTCTTCCTCCAATTGGCTTAATTTTTAACCTAAATGAAGTTAAATCTACGCCAGTGAGCAGTAAATGAGGTCGTCTTGTTTCATAACTCAATGCCAGTTTCTGCAATAATAAAAAATCAAAACGTCACTTATCTGAATGCGATAATTTCATCGCAATAGAATAAAACTCAAACATGCAATAACGCGAGGTATATTAATATCTTGGACCAAATGAGTTGGCTAATTTCAGGGATCATCTAATGTTCAGACTAATTTTAAATGCACAAACCTTAGTTTCATTTTTAACCCTCAACAGCGGCGCTGAAAAATTCGTAGAAGTGGAACACGACACACAAAATGCATCATATTTGAGGAACGATACGAAATGCTTGTTTTAGACTATTGGCTTTTTGTTCCCCCTCTCTTTTAGCCGTGAAGGATCACCGCTTCTTGGATCAGTTTATAACTTTGCATCGTCCCCCTTTTTATCAAAAAAGCGCCCCTTCCTCTTTCAGCCGTTTGGCTTTTCTTTGAGGCCCCCTTTCTCAGCTGACGTGCTCTGCCTCGTTTTAGCCTATTGGCTTTTTTCCGCCTTGTTAGTTACCTCCTGTCTAACCTCTTAATCTACAATGACTGACTGGCATAGACCGCGTACGGTGATCGAGCCGGAAGTGAATATTACGTGGAATATTTGATACGCAATTACAGTCTGATACAATAATTGTGGTAGACGCAAGTATTACAAAATGTTTATTTATACAAAACTCAAAATACAAAATTAGTAATCTGTATGATGCATTTCAAAGCATTCTGGTACATGTAACGGAACTTTACATTTTTTACACTCGTGTTCTATGTGGATTTTCTCGTATTTGATCTGCATACTGATTCGTTTCGGTTACAATATTGTTCCAAAATGTCATGAAATATTAGATTAAATATATCAAATTCTCCTCTTCCTCCTAATTGACATAAGGCTTCCTCTCATGCCAGGAGGCATCGTATAGTCCCAGATTTTTGGACCCCAAAGCCAGGACTCTGGTAGTTGATCGTCATCGGATGTATCATCAATAATTATTCACCTATACTTCGAAAATTTCATAATTCGTCATGTTTACGATTGCCCGGATTAGCGTGTTGCACAAGCCGTGCAAATGTCCCGAACGCTGCGCGAGCTTGTATACAGTTTCGGCCCAACATCTTCGAATCTAAATCGTAGGTTAAGGGGTTAATACGGAGTGAGATAACGGACTCAAGTGAGTTTCTCTAAGGTTTAATTCCCAGTGAAAAGGGTAGCTATGTTTAAACGACTCCATTCGTGAGTATTTCCCTTAAAAATTATCTAGTTATCTGAAAAGACGCCTCTCCTTAAAGCCTTCGAGCGGTAAAATCGCTGAACAATGGTAGTTCTGACATAAGTTCGATTTCAGGCAGAACGAACTATCTGCATAGGGAGAAAAACCACGAAAATCTGTAACGTGTATAAGCCAGTTTCCGTTAGAAAGTCGTCCAAAGGTATTCCTCCCTTTAGACAGATAGCCCTAGTTTGCTTTGCCATAACCTACCAAACCAGTCTTAAAGCAGATTCGGTTAAATAATTTTAACTGGGCATCAGCTCATTGTTCTTCAGTTTTGGTATTAAATGGGCCTTAACACTCTTTAGTAATGAGATTGGCAATTTGTTAATCGGAATATTTAATGCTGTATAATGAATATTAAATTCTACAAGAATGGGTTATGTTTACACTCATTGTATAAAACTCGGAAATTTAATTTCAATTTGGTTAACTCTAAATTTTAGATATAGTTAAAAGGTAAGGTAATTTGTCTTAAACGAATTTTGACAGAAGTTGAATTTTCAGTAGTTCTGAATGTCTCAAGTTAGCATTTAATCTTAGATTCCTGTAACTTTATTCCAGGGCGCTCAATGAAATACTGGCTTGTGTTGCTAGAATTATTTCGAAAAAGTGCGGTAGTGGAGCAGAAGACCTATTCCTGAGTCTCGCAGTTTTAACTACAGATTATGACTTTAAATGTGCCCTTGTCGGCAGAAAAAGTGATGGCGAAACTATTAGTGTGTCCAAAAGATCTATCTCTCCGGACGCTGAAGAAATAAACCAGCTGAAGATTAATTTAGGCTCTGAACCGGGATTGCAGCTTTCAGTTTCTGAGGATGAGGAAGAAGAAACGATACTTAACTCTACTGAAATTCTACGAAGAATTGGAGAAAATCTTCATGATGCAGCACAGGAGCCATCGATGTCTTCTACATTTGTAATGCAAGATGAAATCAAAGATCATTCCTCAGTTGAGGTGGCAGAAAATACCAAGTTGTACGATGAAACTACTGAAAGGCCATTAGTAACGCCTGTAACCTTTGTAACTGAACCCCATGAAATATCTCAAGAATTAAATGAAGAAACAAATGCAGAGTCTGACGTTGCAGCTGAAATTCCATTAGTTACGGCTGAAACTTTAATAACGAAACCCCATGAAGCGCAGCAAGAGTATTCAAATAAAGGTTCTAATAATTATATTTATTTGGAAGATACGGAGAGTTCTGGTTTGGAAGATGCAGGTTCTGCGACTGATTCTCACCATATAAAATATTTGGAAAACGTGCGCTATTTTAGCGACCCTCCTAAGGTATTTGTATTGGATTTGTCCAAAAATTTCGCCTCTAGAGCGATGTCCATTATTCGAAAATTTTTGGACCCAAATTTAGACATTGAAGCTTTCAAGTATTCGGATGAAACTGTACGCGTATACTGGGAACATCCATTTGTACTTCCATTCGAAACTCTCGTATGTCGGCAAGCAGACCTCCGTGAACGATTTTTTGGAAAATCATTCACATGCGTGTTAACTCTGCCTCATTATTAAGCTGAGCTTTTAAGTGTACCTCTACAGTTCAAGTGAGTAGTGAGACTATGTTACGTTGCTTATTACAGGAGGCAAAACGAGAGATGAATGTGGATGAAACTGCTTTGTTAACCTCAAACTCGGAGGTCAAAAATTTCGACTGACCATTTGAAATTTTACTCGCTGAGGAATTTTTCTATGATCTCCGAAATTATATTCATTGTTAAGTTTTTAAAAAGTTGTTTTCATAATAAAATGTAGAACATTGTTTATTCATTTCGAAATTGTCAGACTTCTTGGGCATCAACGGAAGATTTAAAAAGTAGCTTCATGCATAAGAAACGTTTAAACAGACAGAGAACTTCTAATTCCGATTCTCAAAACTTATTTAGTGCTTTAAAATTTCACTAGTTCATATAAGATGCATTACTCCTTTTTCAAACGAAAACTCTTTTATAAACCAGTTATCAGTAATCTAGAATCGCGAAGACGCAACCTCTGTTTATATAAATTCAGGTTCGCTGCAAAATACACGCTTACATTCTCCTTAGCTTGTTTTGGACTTCCCTTAGTTCTGAGTTTAGTTACTTTAAAATTACTTATGGAAACCTTGATTTTTAAATTTGGATTAATTACGAAATTTTACACATACATAGTGTACCAAATTTAAATCTCTCGAATTCACGCAGAAGTTATTGAATTCCTTTGTATATACATAATTGCAAATCATTAAATTGGAAATTAGGCAACGGACTTTTAAATAGTTTAAAATTCACGAGGTAAAGTATTAAGCCATGTAGAAATGCTGACAGTCTTGAACTGTAAAAGCATTGCAGTCACAATTTTTAGGTATAAGATATTTATCACAGAATTTAAATGTAGAGTAAGAAATAAATCGCTGGGCTTAAACTGAAGCTAATTTTCTTGAATGACATTTTTAAATTCACCGTGTTAAAAATCTGTCGTTCAACTTTTAACTAAACGTTCGAAATGAGCTCAAAATTCAAGCGATTAAAACTTTGCTTAGGCTGAAAAAGGCTCTATCGAAGGCATACGAGTACAACAAATTTCGTCACTTTTATTACATGCGGAATTCAACGCCATTCTGTTTTTAATAGTTAATTTGATTCTGGTTTAAGAAATGCGAACATGATTTTGGGAATTTTAATAGTTTGTTTCACAAATAGTAAACAAGATCCTTGTTTCGCTAATATTCTTAAAATTTAGTGTGCAATTTTCCTCTACAGAATTTCTTAGATCTTGCTCAGTTGATGGGTAAAATACGCTATCTTCTGTTCAAACACTGACAGATACTCGCCATGTATGTATAAGGAAGCTTCAACTCTGAACACGGGATAATCCAATCCACACCTCTTGTGTGAATATATATAGAAACTACTTTAAATCCAAATATTTCTACAATAAAATTAAGTATTTTTTATGAGGTATTTCAAAAGATTAATGAAGTGACATCTTAAAAACTATTGCCAAGCTATTTAAATTTAGAATAGAGGGTACCTATAATTTATAGTATATATATTGTAGCAAATGCGAATTTGTTATAAAACACTAGACCTAACCAGTTTCTATTGTTTTCATTGTCGGCTACAAATAAATCAAAATGCTGCATCCATTAGAGATAAGTTTATCTCGATTTCCAACATTTTTGTACGAGGGGAGCTTAGCCGAATCGGTTAAAATCTGCAGAAAATTTCTTAACCCCAAGAGCTGGACATGAAATGTAACTAATCGTCATGTATTTTAAGTCCACTTTGCTGCAAAGATTAAACAAACGTAAAGATTTCTCGGATTCGAATCCGGGCCCAACATGCATATCCATCGAATGCTTTTGTCGCCCAGTGCCGTATAGCCGCACAGTCATTTGTAGTTTGAAAAGAAAACTGTTTCATTAGACTGTGGCAGAGTTATTTTCTTCTGTCGAATTAGTCTTATTCCAAGCCCTAAACCGCTTTGGAATTTCCATTATTTGGCTTAACGCGCACATTCTTGTTCATTACTGTTTGCAGCACCACTGAAGGGTTCAGGGTGTTTCAGATGTGTAGTTAATTCCTTCATTTAAAGTGGAAAAATCCTTGATAAATGCTCACGCTAATACACTGACTACCAATAAGTATTTGGACACCTGTGGTGGAAAAAAAACTAACTGTATTCAAAATCAACAGTTGGTAGAGCCTCCACGAGAGGAAATTACAGCGTGGACCCTCCGTAGCATACTTTCCACAAGTCTTTGTATGGCAGCTAGTGGCATTTTCTTCTACTCGGCGTGGAGAAGACATAGAAGTTCCTTCACCGATTTTACACGGGTAGTGCATCCCTGAATTCGGCGATGCAACTTGTCCCAGAAGTTCTCGATAGGGTTCAGGTCTGGACTCTGAGCAGGCCAGTCTATTCGATGATCTCCATTGGCCCCATACCAAGCCTTGGTTAACGTCGAAACATGACAACTGGCATTGTCGTCCTGAAAGTAACAGGGGTCCAACCCGTAAAACTACCACAACGTAGGAAGCACATTGTCATCTAAAATAGTGCAGTAGGCATCGGAGTTGAGCTTACCATGAATGGGGACCACGGGTCCCAGCCCATACCAGGAGAAACATCCCTAGACCATAATTCCACCTCCGCCGAACTTGACTGTTGGCACAATGCATTCTGGCAGGAGACGTTCTCCAGGTAGACGCCAGACCCTGCCATCCGAACGGTAAAGGGACCTTGATTCGTCACTCCAAAGAACCCGTTTCTACTGATCTCTACGACCCAATTTCGATGTGCTTTGCACTACATTAACCGAGCAGCGCGGTTGGACTTTGTGATCAGAGGCTTATGGGCAGCAGCACGACCATGAAAACCAAGCAGATGTGCTTCCTTACGGATGGTATTCATTGAAACAATACTTCCGGATGCCTGTTGAAGTTCCTCGCGGATGAAGGCCATCGGTTGGGTGCGGTTCTTCCGAATTTCTCTGGACAGCACTCGTCGGTCTCTATCTCCCAGTTTTGTTGGTTTGCCGACTCGGGGCACTTTCCGACAATCACTGCTCACCTTCCACTTAATCACATAGGCCACTGTCGATTTTAGGTACTTCAGATCGCTAGATATGTTCTTTAAGGATCGGCCACACTTGTGATACCCAATAATTATACCTTTCTCGAAATCAGAAAGCTCCGAACTGCGAGGCATCTTGCATGCGACTAAAGCCGATCCAATTCCAATTGCTTTCGCTCGCACTTGGTTTCAACTACAGAGTTATTACCAAAAGTTCAGAATTGCCAAAGGCCAATCACGGTAGTAAAATAAAAGATGTACTTTAGGTACATCTGTTACCCGGAGGCGTAAAAACTTTCAGAGCTTCGGCCTGGCATTCCTGGTCGTGGTGGCAAAAGTTGCATTCAAAAATAACAAAAGTCGTAATTATGAAACATAGAAAAAAGCTGAAAACTAGTTACATAAATACAACTACCAAGACGGGTTGTGATGTATGGTGCGGGGTCTTTTGACCACATATTCAACAGTAGGGTCATAGTCGCACAGGCTTCTAATAGAAGCGTGGGAAGAGGTTCTAAGGCTTTCAAAGAAATTATGTGAAGCGATCAAAATTTGTTCATGCATGGCCTTCACATTCAGATCCTCCTGAATTTGAGAGTTCCTCACAAACCACGGCGAGTTGACAATCGCTCTAAGTATTTTATTTTGTATTATGTCTAGTTTAGCACGCTCAGTTTTGTTGGCTGTCGCCCATGCTGGCACTGGGTATAACATAATCGGTCTGATTAAGGACAGATACAGTGTTCTTTTGATTTTTATCGATAAATTAACTTCCTGCCAATCAAGCTGTAAAGAGCACAGAACGCAGCATTCGCTTTTTCCGCTACGGCTAACATGGTATTTAAAGGTGAGCTTGCTATCTATAATAACTCCTAAATACTTATAGGAGTCAGCCATCGGAACTGTATCGCTTTTAATTTTGATATCCGTATTACCAATTACATATTGCCTGTAGCGTCTGTAAAGCACAACACAGCATTTACTAGAATTTAAATTGATTTTCCCATCCTCGCACCATTTCGTAACGATATTTACTTTGAATTGCAGTTATTCCATTGCAAGAGGCGGGCTGACAGAATCCGTGAGTACGACCGTGTCGTCGGCGTATTTTAGAATCTTGGAATCCAAGGGATTTGGGAGGTCATTTATAAATATATTGATAAGACAGGGAGCGAGGACTGCTTCTTGCGGGACACCACTGTAAATTATCTTTTTCATGGAAATTCTAAAGCCGATGCTGTTTCCTACACGACATATATCGGCGACCGTGACGTACCTTAGGACCGCAGATATCGTCATTTGCATAGGTGTCCAAATACTTATTGGTAGTCAGTGTATTTGGAGAATGGAAGTTCTGTACTATTTGCTGGATTACGTGATCTTTATCTCCACGCGAAGCTTTAAAATGGGTAACTATGGTGCTGCAAGTACTACAGTACAGCTATTGCAGTCCACGCGTAGCTTAAACTTCAGCAACTGCTGTGCTGTAAGTACTGCAGTAATATACGACAGTGCAGTACTGTACTTATAGCAATACTATTTTACTGTAAGTAAATGACAGCTGAGATGATTATCGGGTTTGTAGAGTACTGGAAGTACCGTAAAAACAAATTGTTCTATATCCAATGATCCGGGTCTCTAAATGAGAAATTACTTCAATGGCGTTGGCGCAAATTCTTTCATTTAAAACAAATTAGAAAGTAAAATATATGAATGTTTTCATGATGCATACCAAACAGTCAGTTTTCGAAAAAATATTAGTAAGCCCAAGTCTCGAGAAATAACATTTTTCAAAGACCTAGGAGGTGAAGGCACTGAGGTTGTTTACACAAGTCCCTTCGTATCTCAACACAGAAACGAAGCGGTATGTTCTGTATACAAAGTATGTACGGTGATGCAAAAAGAAAAGTAAATCATTAAGCTTTTTAGGGTTCAGTTAAAAGCATTTAGAATAATTTAGTGATTGCATACAACAGATTTGATTATCCACCGAAATTATTTTCATTGTCAGTCAATTTATTACTGGCCATCAAATTATCTGCCACAAATGTGTGAAAAATTCATGCATTACCAAAAATCTCATTCAAACTCCATACGACAAGTCTTGAAAAAAAACTGATGTGACTTAAATGACACGTGAGAACTACCCAACGAAGCAGCAGATAAATAAGATCATTTACTCGAAAACCTGTAGTGAATTTAGAATTCCCAAG